TAGGTTTCCTGAGTGAGGCGCAGTGAGAGAAAACCAAACCCTAAGTGCTAAGATGGCGCAGACACCACCAGCATTAGAGCAGGTCCAGTGCTTCGGCCGTAAGAAGACGGCGGTGGCAGTCACCTACTGCAAGCGCGGCCGTGGTCTTATCAAGATCAACGGATGTCCTATTGAGCTTGTGGAGCCGGAGATCCTCCGCTTCAAGGCTTTCGAGCCCATCCTCCTCCTCGGCCGCCACCGTTTCGCCGGCGTTGACATGCGCATCCGTGTCAAGGGTGGTGGACATACCTCCCAGATCTACGCCATCCGTCAGAGCATCGCCAAGGCTCTCGTTGCCTATTACCAGAAGTACGTCGATGAGCAGTCCAAGAAGGAGATCAAAGACATCCTCGTCAGGTACGACCGCACACTCCTCGTTGCCGATCCTCGCCGCTGCGAGCCCAAGAAGTTCGGTGGTCGCGGTGCTCGCGCCAGGTTCCAGAAATCCTACCGTTGATTTCAATCCCTTTTCCCCTTTCTTTACATTTTATCGAAATGTGTTGATAGTACTCTCTGCTTTTTGTGTTTCGCAGAGTTTTTAATCGGATTTTGGATACTTTTATATAATGTTTTAGGGAAGTTTTAGTTTTGTCGTTAATTTAAATATAATTGTTTTAATTTAGTGAGTTATTGATATTTGTATGCGTTTTGTGAGGAACAGACAATTGAATGAAAGTTTCGATAGTAATAGTTATGGAAAAAAATAAATCAGATTTGTTGAGAGGCCAAATTAGTGAGTTGGGGACAATCTAGTTCGGTCTTTAGTGAAAGAGATTCATCTTGTTCTCGTTTATAAGTGAGTTTGAGGAAGAGAAGATATGTTGGATTGGGGTGATGAAAACATTCTTAATGCGAAACGATTGTAACTTTGACGATGTTAATTAGACCTCTAATACTGTTTAAATTGTGCCATGAATTTGATGATTATAAAACTCTATGATTACTAGGAACATGTAGTTTTATACAACTCCACACATTCATGTACAACAAAAAAGAATAAAGGAAAACATAAACAAAAATTATGATATGAAGCAAAGCTTTTGTTTTAGGAAAATTTGAATACAACTCGTGTCGAAAAAAAAGGTAAAAAGTAATGTCACTTGTCGAAGAACATGTAGAAGTTTAATACAACTTCACACATATTCATGTACAACAAAAAAGAAAAAAGAAAAATATATTTTTTTTATATGAAACACAGCTTTTGTTTTAGGAAATTTTGCATACAATTCGTGTCATTGTATGACTGAAAAAAAAGGTAAAAAAGTAATATCACTTATATGGAACTTCAATTTCAACATAAAAACAATTAAGTCATGCTATTCAATCAATGTCAATTTAAATAAAAAACTAAAATACTTGTGCTTTATATGTACTGCTTTTGTATAATTAATACATGCTTAAAATTTATAAATGCTTAATTTAATCAAAGTTATGTCTGTTCTACATCACTTTGACAACACCACCAAAATCTTAATTATCAACTACAACTTCTATATAATTTTGATTCTAATTTCAAATTGACTTACATACTAATGAACTTACAAAAAAAAATGAATTAGTGCTCTACGTGGACGACTTATTTACCAATGTACTTTAAAGAAAATTGCACGTTATGTTAATTTGATAAATAAATTTGTACAAATTTGGTAGTTTTTTTTCTTGTTTGATATTAGTATATCATTAAACTCTTATGTAGATGTTTTGTTAACTTTTTAGTAATGTATCAAGTCATACATGTTGTAATTGGAAATATTACACACATATAAATATTACACACACGAACCCCTACTCACGCACTTACCTGCCCACAAGCACAAACATACACACAAATAGAGAGACACACACATACCTTCGGTAATCGTCGTGGTCGCCGTTGTCCTTGTTGTTGTCGTTGTCGTGGTTGTTATAGTTGTCATCGTTGTTGTTGTAGTCGTCGTCGTTGGTGTCATCGTCGTTGGTGTCATCGTCGTTGTTGTCATCGTCGTTGTTGTCGTCCTCGTCCTCAACACCTCCCCACACACACCACCAAACAAACAAACATTTACTTCCAACAAAAATGTGTTTAGCTTTCCATTATCTTGTAGAACCCAACAAAATAGATTTAGCTCTTTATTGTTATGAAGACCCTAAGCTTCCAAAATAAAATACAAAGAAGAAGAAATGATTGTTTCCACAAGCTTGCATAAATGTATTTTTTTTTATCCCAAATTGCCAAAGATGTGTTTCTCTCGAGCAAACATGAAAAAATAGAGCTAACTTACCACGTCGATATAAAGAGATGTCCAACTTGTTTAAAATTAGGAAAATGAGTCATCTGTCAAAACTGGTGTCCAACGTTTCTCAATGACATCCAACATGACAACTCCTTGAGCATTTGCATCAAATGACTCAGCATTTGCATCAAATGACTCTAGTTGGCGTTCAACGTAGCATTTGGAATTATATTTCATATTCTTCTTGCTTCTAAAGGATGCAATACATGTTTGGATTACGACAAAAATATTATATTACAAAATTACACATNAGTGGCAGGTAGTCGGAGAAATGGAAAAGAGTTTCAAAAGCTGCTGTATGTACTTTTCTTGCAGAGGTACGTCATCTGGGGCTGTTGCTTTTATGATGATGATGTTCATGTCAGAGAAGCCACTCACTGCAGCAAACTTTGCATAGCTCATGAAGCTGCGTTCTTTTAAAGAAGTGCAAACTTGCCTGAACCGCCTCTGCATTGGTTTTTTCTTTTTTTTTTCTTTATATGCTTTTTTTCGTGTATGAGATGAGACGGTGATGTGGGGGTGGAAGAAGAGAAGAGAAGACAAGAAAGAAAGATGATTGTTTTCAAGGGTGAACCTTAAAAATGGTGTCCCAAGATTATTGTGTTTTGTTGTCGCTGTGTACTAAATGGACCTTTTTTTCGAGTGGGGTTTGGTCTTTGGTCCTGTCGGGGCTACAACTACGAGGGAAATTGTTGCGTAGCAGTTCACAGATGCCGGATGGAGATGTAAACTAATAGCTCTCGAAAGAGACAGAAAGCCTGCAAAATTTTAGCCTTATGCTCTAGGTAATTTGGGTCAATTTAGGAGTTATGCTATGGAAATGGGACGAGGGCCCAAATTGAAGAACAATTACAAAAGTCGAAAGAAAATCCTAATACTTTTTGTTATCTTTTATGGGAAATTCATTCCTGTTCGGAAATTTACTGAAGTGGTGCAAGTTTCTTTTCAAATGGGTATTTTTTTAACTGTTATTTATTTTCACAACAAAATTATGTGTGACACGAGTTTTATACAATTTTTTTAAAGTAGAAATCATGTTTCAAATGCACAAATGTTTTATTATTTTTTTACTATGATTATAGATATGAACATTGTTGTGTTATCTGTTAAGGAGACTGTTACTGCCAATCTTGATATCCTTCACAATCCCATCATGATGCAAAGAAGTTAAAGATATGGTAAGTTGACGCTGTCATGGTAATTGTTTGAACTAAAGTGAGTTATACGTGTTTTGTAAGTGACAACAAATTGAATGAAAGTTACAATGATAATAGTGACGGGAAAAAATAAATTAGATTCGTTGAGTGACTAAAATTAGTGACTCAAGTGAGGTTGAGAATAGTCTAGTTTAGTAACAAGTGAAAGAGATTTATTTTCTGGTTCGTTTATAAGTGAGTATGAGAAAGATAATGAAATTATCGTACTAATAAATGTGTGATATATTGAGTTTGAGAGTGATCAAAGTATTTTAACGGTAGACGAGTCTATTATAAGTAATATAATGCTTAATGAGTAGTAGTTGAGCTTAATGCCAAATAGACATCAAGATTGATGTATGGTTGTTTACAAGTTTGATGATGTTAATTAGATCTCTAATATTGTTTATATTGTGACATTTGTTTAGTATTATAAAATTCAATGTGATTCTTACCTAGGAACATGTAGAAGTTTTATACAATTCAAAACATCTTCATGTATAAAAAAAGAATAAAGAAAAACATAAACAAAACTATGCATATGAAGCACAACTTTTGTTTTAGGAAAATTCATTGTATGACTAAATTTCAACATAAAAACTTCTAAGTTATGATATTTAAACAATGTCAATTTAAATAAAAAAACCAAAAGACTTGTGCTTTGTATGCACGACTTTCGTATACATACTTAAAATTAACACATACTTAAATTAATCAAAGTTATGTTCTTTTTATGTTAATTTGACAATAACATCAAAATCGTGGTTATGAACAATAACTTCTATACAAATACAAATGAAAGAGTGTTCCATGAGAATGACTTATTTAATGACTTACTAATATACTTTCAAGAATTCATGTTATAGTAATTTGAAAAATCAATTTGCATGAATTTAGTAGTTTTTTCCATATTTAGTATTAGTATATCACACCAACACACTTATATATAAATACAAAAAAAAAGATTTATTTCCACAAGCTTTAACACACTTTCAAGTTTTCATAAGAGTATTTTTTTTATACCCTAAACTACCAATGATGTGTTTCTCTCGATCAAACATGAAGGAATAAGACTAATTTACCATATCAATACAAATAATGTCTAACTTGTCTAAAATTACGAAAATGAGTCATCTGTCAAAAACGTCCATGAATAACCTCAAACATGACAAGTTTTATACAAAAATTTTAATCATATTAACTATATGATGATAACAATTTTTTAACCTATAAAATAACTTTGTAATTGTTTTTATAACCTTAGTATTTTTAATAAAAAATATATTATAAATTTTGTTTTTTTTTTTATCAAAGGGGCAACATTAAACCAATATATAGAATATATTAATATTTTTACATAATTAAAGCATACATTATGACCTATTAATATATTTATTTAATTTCTTTTATAATGAGATAGTGTGGAAGGGGGCAATGAGGGTATTTCCGCAGTCTCAAAAGCCCTAATCCGTAGATGAATATATAAAGCCATAAACATTAGGAACCGCAGATAGGTTTCCTGAGTGAGGCGCAGTGAGAGAAAACCAAACCCTAAGTGCTAAGATGGCGCAGACACCACCAGCATTAGAGCAGGTCCAGTGCTTCGGCCGTAAGAAGACGGCGGTGGCAGTCACCTACTGCAAGCGCGGCCGTGGTCTTATCAAGATCAACGGATGTCCTATTGAGCTTGTGGAGCCGGAGATCCTCCGCTTCAAGGCTTTCGAGCCCATCCTCCTCCTCGGCCGCCACCGTTTCGCCGGCGTTGACATGCGCATCCGTGTCAAGGGTGGTGGACATACCTCCCAGATCTACGCCATCCGTCAGAGCATCGCCAAGGCTCTCGTTGCCTATTACCAGAAGTACGTCGATGAGCAGTCCAAGAAGGAGATCAAAGACATCCTCGTCAGGTACGACCGCACACTCCTCGTTGCCGATCCTCGCCGCTGCGAGCCCAAGAAGTTCGGTGGTCGCGGTGCTCGCGCCAGGTTCCAGAAATCCTACCGTTGATTTCAATCCCTTTTCCCCTTTCTTTACATTTTATCGAAATGTGTTGATAGTACTCTCTGCTTTTTGTGTTTCGCAGAGTTTTTAATCGGATTTTGGATACTTTTATATAATGTTTTAGGGAAGTTTTAGTTTTGTCGTTAATTTAAATATAATTGTTTTAATTTAGTGAGTTATTGATATTTGTATGCGTTTTGTGAGGAACAGACAATTGAATGAAAGTTTCGATAGTAATAGTTATGGAAAAAAATAAATCAGATTTGTTGAGAGGCCAAATTAGTGAGTTGGGGACAATCTAGTTCGGTCTTTAGTGAAAGAGATTCATCTTGTTCTCGTTTATAAGTGAGTTTGAGGAAGAGAAGATATGTTGGATTGGGGTGATGAAAACATTCTTAATGCGAAACGATTGTAACTTTGACGATGTTAATTAGACCTCTAATACTGTTTAAATTGTGCCATGAATTTGATGATTATAAAACTCTATGATTACTAGGAACATGTAGTTTTATACAACTCCACACATTCATGTACAACAAAAAAGAATAAAGGAAAACATAAACAAAAATTATGATATGAAGCAAAGCTTTTGTTTTAGGAAAATTTGAATACAACTCGTGTCGAAAAAAAAGGTAAAAAGTAATGTCACTTGTCGAAGAACATGTAGAAGTTTAATACAACTTCACACATATTCATGTACAACAAAAAAGAAAAAAGAAAAATATATTTTTTTTATATGAAACACAGCTTTTGTTTTAGGAAATTTTGCATACAATTCGTGTCATTGTATGACTGAAAAAAAAGGTAAAAAAGTAATATCACTTATATGGAACTTCAATTTCAACATAAAAACAATTAAGTCATGCTATTCAATCAATGTCAATTTAAATAAAAAACTAAAATACTTGTGCTTTATATGTACTGCTTTTGTATAATTAATACATGCTTAAAATTTATAAATGCTTAATTTAATCAAAGTTATGTCTGTTCTACATCACTTTGACAACACCACCAAAATCTTAATTATCAACTACAACTTCTATATAATTTTGATTCTAATTTCAAATTGACTTACATACTAATGAACTTACAAAAAAAAATGAATTAGTGCTCTACGTGGACGACTTATTTACCAATGTACTTTAAAGAAAATTGCACGTTATGATAATTTGATAAATAAATTTGTACAAATTTGGTAGTTTTTTTTCTTGTTTGATATTAGTATATCATTAAACTCTTATGTAGATGTTTTGTTAACTTTTTAGTAATGTATCAAGTCATACATGTAGTAATTGGAAATATTACACACATATAAATATTACACACACGAACCCCTACTCACGCACTTACCTGCCCACAAGCACAAACATACACACAAATAGAGAGACACACACATACCTTCGGTAATCGTCGTGGTCGCCGTTGTCCTTGTTGTTGTCGTTGTCGTGGTTGTTATAGTTGTCATCGTTGTTGTTGTAGTCGTCGTCGTTGGTGTCATCGTCGTTGGTGTCATCGTCGTTGTTGTCATCGTCGTTGTTGTCGTCCTCGTCCTCAACACCTCCCCACACACACCACCAAACAAACAAACATTTACTTCCAACAAAAATGTGTTTAGCTTTCCATTATCTTGTAGAACCCAACAAAATAGATTTAGCTCTTTATTGTTATGAAGACCCTAAGCTTCCAAAATAAAATACAAAGAAGAAGAAATGATTGTTTCCACAAGCTTGCATAAATGTATTTTTTTTATCCCAAATTGCCAAAGATGTGTTTCTCTCGAGCAAACATGAAAAAATAGAGCTAACTTACCACGTCGATATAAAGAGATGTCCAACTTGTTTAAAATTAGGAAAATGAGTCATCTGTCAAAACTGGTGTCCAACGTTTCTCAATGACATCCAACATGACAACTCCTTGAGCATTTGCATCAAATGACTCAGCATTTGCATCAAATGACTCTAGTTGGCGTTCAACGTAGCATTTGGAATTATATTTCATATTCTTCTTGCTTCTAAAGGATGCAATACATGTTTGGATTACGACAAAAATATTATATTACAAAATTACACATGATATAATGGGATCAAGATTATAGTTATACCAGTGTAACCTAAATATAATCATGTACAAAAATGAAATAAAATTGAAAATTAAAAATGTTAAAATTTAGAAAATAGTTGATTTTGTTAACAAAGGATAACTAAAATAATAGTAGAAATTAACGTTATCATGTTAAAAATATAATATCTTTTATTATAAAATAAAAGTTCAAAAGAATAAACATTAAATAATGACTCTTAACCATATCATTTTTTTCCTTTAGAGTGATTCTCTCAAACATTATGGAAAATAGTAACAAATTAGGTTACCAAATCACACATGTCTAATTGCATAGTTCATAATCTTAATTCTATACAGTCATTTAACATTTCAATCCACCCTAAAATAGTAAAATTCAATTCAATTCAATCAATTTCAACCATTGACACTTGGAATTACTTCATAAATTTTGTTTTATCATGTATAAGTAATAGATATGATTTTAAGAATATATTTTTAAAACATGTTATCTTTTGTCAATTTGTTAACAAATGTGATTCCGTAACTCATTAGAATTTCGTGTCTATTATTTTAAGTATTTTATATTTAGATTGATAATTTTTTTAGTGTATTAAATAAAGGGCACTATCTTTAAAAAGTTTGTCTTTAACCTAAATATTTACCAACTAAGACATCATGTAGCAACTTAAGTATCATAATTCATTATTTTTTTTGTTTCAAGATATAATTACTTATGCTTCAATTTAAATTAAAAAAAACTGAATTAATTTACAGCCTTTGTATTCCCAAAACAATATTTATACTATGAACATTTAAAGTATTTTTATTAAATAATGGTGATTTGTATTTTTTTATTGACCCAATTTACTCTGTTCTTATATTTTGCCCTTTCACTTAACAAGTGAGATATTTGAAACTCTGCATTATTATTTTATTTTGTTTAATATTTATCTTATAATTATTTAACACTTTCTTCGTATAAGAATAAAAATAAAAAATTTTAAATTGTCAATTTTCCATATCCAATTAGTTTGGATTAAATAACATTTTAAATTTAGGCCAAATTATTTAGATAATGATTTAATAATCAAAGTAACTGTATTGATTTTTTTTTTCAATTAATCCAATTCAACATTAACTTATTTGTTGTACATATCAATGCAAGAAAATGAAAATTTTAAGTATTCAATACTTTGATTCAATATTTATCTCGCTAAGATTATTTCTGGTGGTTAACACAAATTCCATTATATATCAGAAGCCAAAAAATTTCATATATTTTCGTTAATAACTAACTTTATATTTTTAAACTAATAAATTTGGATGTCAACTCAAAGTAATATTATGAAACGTAATAATTCCAAATTAACATGCAAGTGAAATTGATCATTTTTCTTTTCATGATTTTCTTTTACATATTTTAAATGATTTTCTTAATAAAGAATTAGAATAAACCAATTTCATTTTCAAATTTAGTTTCCAAGTTAATCAACTTATTCTATGGTTCAAATATGACAAGTTTTATAAAATTTTAACTTGTAAAATAACTTTATAATTGTTTTTTAGATCTTTTTCTCATATACCATACTTTTTTATTTACCCAATAACACACAATAACCAATATTTACATAAATAACACAATAACCAATATTTACATAAATTTGTAAGAGGTTGAAATTCGGTTTTCAGGAAACCAAATAATAACTTCTTTTTTTAATCATTTTCGTCAAAAGATATATTAGAAAATCCTTGAAGATCTAAACTATTTTCGAATACGCTAAAATAGTTTTCAAAAACAGTTGAAAACTTCGTTTAACATATTTTTTTTCAATTTTATTTTTTAATTTAAATTTTAATAAACAATTAATTTATTTTAATATTTTAATATAATTTTTACTTTTAACAAAATTTTTACATTATTTTATTATAAAATTTAAAAAATACTTAATTTAATTCAATATAAATTAATAATATTATAATAAAATATTTTTTTAATATTTTAAATCGTATTAAATATTAAAATAATTCATTCATTTATTAATTTTAAATTGTAACAAAATTAAAAAACATGTGTTAAATGTTTTCAAAAGCTTAACATATGTTATTTTTAAAATTTTATTTTTAATTTAAAATTAATAAATAATTAAATTATTTTAATATAATTTAGTTTGTTAAAATATATTACATCAGGATATGTTATTATTTTTAGTTTAATTATTAGTATTATAATTATCATAATAATTGTTAAAGTAATAAAATATATTAAATTATATTGAAATAAATTAAATATTTTAAATTTTATAATAAAACTTATTTAAAAAATTTGTTAATTTCAAAAATTATATTAAAATAGATGAATTATTTATTAAAATTTTAAATAAAAATATAATTTAAAAAGTTATGTT